GATGTTGATTTAAGATAAATAAAGAATTTTTTATGTTGCGATACCATTAGACAAAATAACTTTCGACTATAAACGTTCATAAGAAGCGGTAAAAGGTTTACAATAGAGTCGCTTTGCGATTTCGGTGTAGTTTAAAAATTAGGCCGATGAATGCTGAAACTACACCAAATGAATAATTGTTGATAAAATGAAATGGTGAACGTGAAATTATGTTGTACAAAGTAAATGAAGAAGAATGAATAAATTGACGAACATAAGTTTAAGAATACTCGAAGATGTGTAAGTCAGTTAATGTATGATACCACAGGTAAAGTATGATCGATCTGAGGTAGTTAAAACGAAAAGAAATAAAAATACGATTGTAATAATTTGCATGAATACCAAAATTGAAACAATGAATGTTAGCCAAGCATAGTTGGAAGAAGTTAGCAAGGCTAGCTTCCGATTTTAGTGAACAAAATTCGTTTGGATTCATTGAACCAATTATTGATGCCAGTCATTAATGTTCTACTGGCGCATTAAGTAATCATTGATATCCTTTTCATGTGAATTCGATAAGTGGAAGGGAATAAAAAGTTGTCGACTTCGATTCAATTCGCTTTCACTCGATTGCAGTCGAATTGAGCTGATTTCAGTACAGTTCGCTTTATCCACTAAAGTGCCACTGTTCTGCTTTACATAATTAGCAAAAAATAGCTAGTAGCTAAACACACAAAATTCAACAATTTCGTGAAATGATATCACATTTTTTGACGAATATAGAATATTTATGAGCGTTTCGAGTGAACGTTAAGGTAATATCAATTTCATTCACATTGAAATAATCAAATTGACCGTTCGGAAATGTTTTTTTCAAACAAAAACCTAAAGCTGAATGAAGCGGTATATTTGCAAATGCTTTCGCACAGTTGTTAAGGTAGGCAAGGAATGCAGAAGTAATTTTGAGCATTTCTGATAAACTACGATTGTCCAAGGAATGGCTTACACTTAGTCAATTTTCATTAATTTTTCGTTTGAATTTTTGCAATTTTCATAAATTCAAAAAACAAATGCATATGAAATCAACCACATTTTTGTAGCGTACTTTTTATAACGATTGTTTGAAAGAAAAACGCAATAATGAAAAATATGGTAACAACTGGAGTGCAACGCAAAACGATGCAGCTGGAAAATGGAAATAAATATTCAATTGTGGTCGCCAAAATTTAAGTCGAAAGATTATGACGATGGAACATCATGGCATAACCATCCATTCAGCATTATGCAAGAAAGCATTATGCAGGAAACAAGCACACAATGCGATGAATTGTTATTGCATGCATTAAGTTCATAACATGGATGTTGCCAGTGTTAATGTTTAAATGTTTCAGTGAAACGAACAAGTGAATAAACCAAAAACAATCCTTCTCCATATCTGATTGCATTGTATATCATCTAGTTGCTGGATATATCTATGATAAACGATTAATTTCGTTAATTTACCCACATAAATTGTTCTATTGTGCACACCTCAAGTGCTAATGAGCAAACGATAAAACATGGCCAATTGCCTTGAAGTAATAATAACCCATTCAGCTAAAGTATTTATTCAACACCATATAAATGAAGTTATTGCAAACGAAAAGAACGGAGTTGCTAATTTAATGGCCGTCAACGGCTCGAATAAATGAGCATTTTTCGAGACTTCGTAAATGAATCATTTCTTCATATTGTCTTCATCATCATCAAAATTATTATTTTCAGAATCATAAGAACAGAATCGTTTTATTGACTCTAAGTTCAAAATCGTTCCTTCATTTTCAGTTATGAATATGCACAAATGCTCTTCCTGGAAATCGTTTATAACAATCATTCAGACTACTTTTTTCAAAAAAAAAAATCAACTGAATAAGTAAACGACATGTCAATTGCCTTGGCATATTAATTCAGATATTAATTTCTAATCACAGACATTGAACACGACGAACAAGGTAAAATTTGAAAAAAAAAAACGTCCCTTCGTCAATACTGATTCTCTAATCGACCAGTTTATGGCGCTTACTTCGAGGTAGTTCAGCAGCATTAACATTAGCTGCAAACAAAATCTTGATCGCAAAAATGGTTGAAATTAAGGAGTGAATAGAATTGCACGCGGTTGAATAGAAGTTAATAAATCTTTCAAAGAAATTTCACAATAAATTATATTGAAATTTCAATTTTGCCCCCAATTCGAAATTCAAAATTTGTTTTCTGTTTTTAGAAACGAAATTCGAAATCTGAAAGATTCCTTATTTGAAGTAGAAATTCGAAATAAGCTGAAATTATGATGCATAACAATAGGATTTTTTTCAATTTCACTTTCTGATATATCTGCA